ATCGGAGTCTGCTAGAGATAACCTGGAGGTGCACAGAAGGCAACCAGGAGCCTGGATGAAGGAGAGACTCGCTGGAAAGTCTTCGTTCAGTTCCACAGGGGCCAAAAGCCAGGAGGACACATCACGAAAATTAATCAGTCTTCCCTCTTCGGCTCTCTCCTTCCTTGCTTGGCGTGTAGGTGTTATCGTTCCAAAGCTTAGCAGCGACTTGTTAACCACGCTAGATGATTTGTGCCGTTGATTGGTTTTCCAGGAATGGGTTCGCCAGAGGGCACAACCCTAACATTGCAGCTGTACCCGGAATGACGGTGAACCTCTCAGGTTATGCCTATATTTTTGGTGCATGTCCTCACTCGCTCAACGGCGGAGGAAGAATCTTAACACGGCCCAGGAAGGGGCTTGCGTTGTGCTTCCTTCGGCCGAGGGAGCTCACGAAGATCTCCTAAGTCACGAAGTGCAAAAGCCGACTCTTTGGTTCTGAGAAACGAGTTCTTTCAACCCTTGGCAAGGTATGGGGGCGTCTACCCCTGACTCAGTCAACCACCGTGTTGATGACCACCATGTTGGGAGCGTTACTGTTCTTGCGTGCTGCGGCCCCTGTGGCTCACTTCTCCTCAGAGTAAGCCGGCCACCACCATTTTGGGTGATCTCTCCCCATCTCATGGCAGCCTTTTGTTGTTGTTTAGTCGTTGAGTCGTGTCCGTCTCTTCATGACCTCATGGACCAGATCACGCCACGCCCTCCCGTCTTCCATTGCCTCCTGGAGTTGGGTCAAAGTCATGTTGGTCGCTTCGATGACCCTGTCCAGCCATCTTGTCCTCTGTCGTCCCCTTCTCCTCTTGCCCTCACAATTTACCTCCTCGAAATAAAGAGGCTCCCCACCCCACCCCAATGCATCTAAATCAGTGGTTCCCAAACTTGGATCCCCAGATGTTCTTGAAACTACCACTCCCAAGAATTCTGGTCAGCCCAGCTCGTGGGGAAGGGAGTGGTAGTCCAAGAACATCTAGAAAACCAAGGCTGGGAACCCCCCTGTTCTATAGGCATTGTGTTCCACCCAGTGTGTAGAAAGAGAGGCGACGCTTCCTCGTGGTCTGCTTTCTTTCTTGGCTTGTTCTGAGAAGGTCTCCTTCCACCCCAAGATCCAAGCCTCTTGACTTTAGCGAGGCGCCTGTCCCAAAAGCCAGGCGTCTTCCTCAAAGAGAGATCAAAAACTAGAGAGCAGAATTGGAGCAACTCAAAAAAGAGAGAGGGTTTTATTCAGTATACGTTCAGCAGTTCGCTAATGGGCGTGCGACATAATCACAGGCACGTACGTGCAATATTCATGCAGATTTCAAGCCGAAAGCTCAGCCCTTCCCAAAGATGGGGCTCTCGGCTGGGTTAAACTCTAGACTTCTGCCATTCCCAAGCAGGGTGGCGAGGCGTGGAGACAGCAGATCACACAACTGGGAATTCAACCCCTGTGTCAAGAAACACCAGTCCTGGGAGGGCCAATTGCACTGAGCGATGTAAGAGCACACAAGACTATTTAGCTTAATCCCACCAGCTATCAGACAAGATCTGGTAATGCAATGTTAAATATGATGCTTCCAGGGGGAGGGGGGGGGAAAGCAATATATTCCCATGAAAACTATTTTCCAGAATTCCCCTCCTTCTGAATTTCTTTCTGAATATAGGCAGCCTGGATTTCCTAATGGGTTTTTTTTAATTATTTTTTGGCACCTATTGTTGCAACCCTTTTAAATTCTGGATTTTGATTCTGGACATAAAGTGGATTCTGGCTCCTTTGCACAGAGGGAGCTGACCTAAGAAGGGTCTGGGACGCAGCTCCTTCTGTTTTTAAAGCCACCCCTCCAAAAATTTTGTGTTTTAAAGCTCTTGAGAAGCAACCTTCTGGAAGTCTTCCAGAAAGCACACGGCGCCCTTAAAACAAAAGTGTGTGATTCCCATGGGTCTTGTTTTTAATTTTTTAAAAAATATTGTTTCACAAATGGAGGAGTTTGTTCACTTTGGCTTTTGCTGGGAGAAAAGGGTCGTGGGGTATTAATTGGCCCATGAGGGCCCTGATAAAATAGTGTAAACATGCCAGCACCATTCTTGTTAGGGTGGCGTGAATGGCAGCGTTCGGAGCCTTAAGGAAAGGTGCGGCGTTTTTACCAATGTGCAGGAGCGCTTTACTGAGATGCGCAGAGGCACCGGTAAAACAACACACCAAAGATAATCTTAATGGGATTGTGAATACAGTAGGACTCCCTGTATCTGCTGATTCACTTATCCACAGTCTGAAAATATTAAAAGAATAATCCCAGAAATATGTATTTCTAAAGATGAAGGTACCAGAACTGGATACTAGAGGGAGCCAGAGACCATGCAATGAATAGCGTTTTCTATCATCCACGTTTTTCAGCAACCACTTGGAATCAATCCCTCACAGATACGGGGGTTGTACATTGTAGAATACAATGCCATCTACATGGTTTCTTTGGTGGTGGTTTAGTAAAGCATGCGCAATCCAGGCTGGAAGCGGCCATGGTCGGGCGTTGTAGATCTACTCAAGCAACAGAAAGCTGTGGTCAACTGCACAGATATCTTCTCTAGGTTGAATGTGGGAAACAGGAATCCAGAAGGAAGGGGACACTGGCTGGACCCAGAGGAGGAACAATTTAGGGACCGTGCGGGCGATCTGGTAGACTGCTCTAGCTCTCACCAGAACCACCGCAGTCTACCAGGCGGATAGGCTCACCCTCTGCGTTGCGGAAAAACAAAGAGTAGACCACAGCAATGCGGTCTGGTCATTTTAGACTCTGGGCTTTAAGCCGCTTTTCAACATTAGGGGGGAGGACGCTTAATGTGCAGAACATCAAAATGCGCTCCGGCAAAGCCCTGCTGTTTTATGGCCCCGCTCCTGCTCGTTCTGCCGAGCGATGCGCCAAAGTCTGGCCCGAAGAGAAGGGCTGAGGGTAGAACTCCGCAGGAGGAGGAAGAGGAGCAACGGCTCTGGCCTTTTCAAATTCCCCGAACCTTGGGAACACACTCGTTTCGAAGCAGATACCGTGGCCTCCAGGGGGATGTTTGGAAGCGTATTCCAAAAAAGATGCTTTTTCGCAGGTCCAGGGATGTCAAATCAGGAGATGTGACTCTGGGTGAGATCAGGCGGCTGCAAAAAGGGGGTACCTGACCATACCACAAAAGGGTTGCTTTCTAACAGGAGCGCCGTCTCCCTTTAAAAATGACCCTTCTGTCTTTCAGGAAATCTATCCAGCCTGCAGCCCCCCCCCCCCGGTGGAAACCCTACAGCTGAACCTAAGAAAAGAGTTGCCACCGATTGTGAGCGGTTTCCCCCTGGGACCCTCACCCTCCAGGGGAAACGCAGAGGGCAAGGGTCTCCAAGGGCCAAGCGAGGTTACCCTTCCAAGCTTGCTTGGGGCTTGGAGGGTGGTCTTCAAAAGTGTGATGGAAGTGAATTCCGACCACGAGGGCCCGAGAAGGGAAGCACCACTGCCACTGAAAAAAGCACCAAGACCGAGGGGTGGGGATGGGAGGAGAGAAGAGAAACTGCATCGAAAGGAGAGGAAAAGCCAGGAAAAGCCATCAGGCAACCAGGAGAGATCCAGAGATGTCCCCCAGTGGGAAGATCTCCTCGCAAGCAGGAAGGGTAGGCGCAGCCTGCCCCCTAGTGGCCCTTCGGAGTGACTTCGTCTTCCTCTTTCACCACCGGTAAGATGCAGGTGGGAGGCTGCGATTCCACTTGACCCGAGAGGGTGGGAAGCCTTTCAGTGGAGCCTGGAAGGGTCAAGAGAATCAGGAGAGGCAGTGAGTCCGAGGGGGAGCCGGAGAAAGGAGGAGGAGGAGGGTGGAAAAGGAGCAGAGCCTGAGATGAGGACTAGCCACATGCTTCGCCCTCGGAGAGGACGCGGCAGACAGGAGCCGTCGGCTTTTGGGAGGTACCCTCCCCATAACATGCCCCGCTCTTGGGTTGGGACCCCCGTCAATGAAAATGGACCCATCTCCACTGGGTTTAGACTAACCGTGACACACCCACACCCTCAGAGGCGTGATGCTCCCCGAAAATCCAGAGAGGTTTTTATCATTTCTAGATCTCGGGATGGGATTGCTATTCCTAGGCTGCCTTCCTTCAGCCTTCTTCAGAATCTGTCCTCCTCCAAATCAGAGAGAGGCAGCAGGACATGGAGTCTTTATACAGATTTTACAAGCTTGGGAGCCATCTCTACAGGCTTCTGTCAATTCAGGGGTTTCCCTGAAACAATGAAAAAAGGCCATCCTTTCTGGCTTAGGACCAATTTCTCAGGGGATCCCCTTGTGTCTACTCAAGAGTCACAACCTCAACGGTAGGCTGTTCACCCTGCTGGTATAAGAACAAATATTCTGTGCCATCCTGTCAATTCGGACTTAGGGCAACCCTTTTTTCAAGGATTTCCAGGTAGAGAAGACTCAGAAGCGCTTGGCCCCTTCCCTTCCTCTAGGGGGCGCTGTGGGGTGGTGCCGCTGGCCCAAGGCAACCCAGGCTGGCTCTTCTCTCAGAAGGCGCCATCAAGGATTTGAACTCCGAACCTTGGGCTCCTCGGTCAGAGACCTAAACCACTAACAGTATAAAATACTAGTTTCGCCTTCCTTGCCCCCCGAAGCTTCTAGCTGCTGGTAGCCTGAACTGATTTTTGTTGAAAATAGTGACAAACCACACATCATCTGCAAGGCTGGGATCTGCAAGTGGAACCCGGGGCCTCGGGAACGGGTGAGCGCTCCAACCCTAGAGGCATTCAAGGAAAAAAAAACTGGGATCATCCACCTGGCCGATCTGTTTGGATGGTATTCCTGCCTTGAGTCCCAGGGTTGGGCTGGATGGCCTTTTAGGGTCCCTTCCCACTTCACTTCTCTGTGATTCTAAGGCTCCCAGGGGGTAGCACATATCACAGATTGATAGGGTCAAGGGGGTGTCTTTTCTATACGGCAGGAATAAAAACTTGGCAAGCGGGCAACGAAAAACAGAGCAACCCGCTAAGAACGAACATTGAAATGTGCGTTTAAACTTTGAAGTGCAAAATCGGAAAGCTTCAGATGAGAAAAAATCGCAAACGGCGGCTGAATGCCGGGCCAAAAGGGACTGTTTGAACCGAGCGCCAGAAAACCTGGAGGGTGAGGGGGAAAAAGAAAGATAGTGGAAGGTTTCCCCTCATTTGATGAGGACACTTCTTGGAGGCCTTCTTCTGGACATCTTAACGGAGGGGGCAGGATGGTGACCCTGATCTCCATTAAAGCCCCTGCTGTCTTGAGACACGGCTTCTTCTTCTTACCCTTTCAAGCACATTTTAAAAAAAGGAGTCTGAATATCTGGAATAAACCCACTCTCACAGGTTTGGAGGGCAGTGAAGCTGCCACCCAAAATGGAGATCCAACTGTGGTTTAAATACAACGGAATAAATTTACCCGCAGAAACCCCAAATGCAAGAGATGCATGGGTTTGAAGGCCATCATCCTTCCTGCATTTCTCCCACACCGGAGGGGGCTTGCGACTGGAACAGGGGTCCCACCTCCACAAATTTCGGAGAGGGGTGCCCCCATGCTCAGGCCACGAGCCACTGGTGGCCAGAAGTCGTGGCAGTGAGGTTTCTGGAATTGCAAACTCTTTGAATTATTTTTGGAGGAATGGTTGCTTTGCTGAATAATGTGTTCCACCTTTTGCCCAATTCCCGAGTATTCTGGAGTAAAAACCACTAACCCATCATCCCTTCCCTGTCCCTGGATTCAAAGAGAGCCCTGCGTCTCCCTGCTCAGTGCTTTTTTTCCTCTCTAGAAAATGTTTGCAGTCTGTTAAGGTCTGTTACTGAAAGTCCATCTGCCGTGTTTTCATTTTGCAGTTTGAGCTGTTCGACCGTAAGCAAAGAAAATGGCTTTTTAATCTCCCTATTCGGAGTAAGTCATTGAGACGGTAAGGGCCAGTGGATGAATTTTTTTAAAAAGGGGGGGTGAGCTAAATGGGAGAACTTGTCGCTATTCCGCTCTGGGAATCCCTGCCCTTCTGTTGCACGGCTAGAGGAATTAAACCCCAAAATTTGAAGCCCTGCACCCAGCTCCTGCAATCACGGAAAGAAGATTTTTCTTAAAAAAAAAAAACATATACCTCCCGGGATCTCCGTGAGCTCGTTGAGGGGCGGCACCGTCTCCAGCTTGTCCGCGTAGTTCTTGGCCGCTTGGCGTTTGGCGTAGCGGGCCTCAATCTCCTTCTTGGTCCTCGGGATGCGGCATTTGAAGATGCAACAGAGGGTGATAACTAAAGAGATCAAGGAGGCAGGGGAGAGCTGGCTCAAGCAAGCACGCAACCGTTCAGCAAGGAAAAAGGAGACTGGCTACGTTCTTCATGAGTTTTAGCCTAGGAGGGTGGAATTTCCAGAAGTTCCAGGGGAAATCCCCTCCCCCCAAGATCTCGGAGGGGCCTCTGCCTAAAACCGACTTCAGTTTTGGGGCATGTGGGGAGAATTGTGGGGGCACAGGGAAGCTGAGGGACCGGATATGCCCCTCCTTGGTTTCGGCTCAACTCAGCGAGACCTCTCCATTTCCAAGCCCATCGAGAGAACTGAGACAGAGACCAGAAACGGACGTTTTCTTTCTTACCGGGGTCTCTGAAATCTGTACAAACCCACTCTGTGCACCACAAATCCCCCCCTTCTTAAGCAAAGTACAGTAGGACAAATTCCCCCCCTCCGCAGGATCAGTATCTGTGAATTCACTTATCCACTGCCTGAAAATATTAAATAAAGCCCCCCAGAAATATGCATTTCCACAGTGTATTTACCGAAATCAGCCACTAGAGGGAGACAGAGACCATGCTATGCACAGCATTCATGTGAATTTTTGGCACGTGTGGCGGGCAGCGTGGACACAGTTCTCTGAGGATACCATGGCCCTATTGGGTGCAGGAATACGGCAATCACAACCGAACTGGGTTGTTGTTGAGAAAGATGTGCTTGTTATGTGCCATCAAGTAACTCCCAACTCATGGTGACCCCATGAATGAGCGGACTCTGGAATTCTCTTTCCACAACTGCCCTGCTCAACTTTTGCAAACGCAAGCCCGTGGCTTCCTTTAGGTAGACTGTCCCTCTCGTATTACGCCTTCCTCTTTCCCTGCTGCCTTCCGTCTTCCCTAGGATGGTCTTTTCAAGAAGATGGAATCCTTACATTCAGGAAAACCACAACGCCTGCCGTTTTATACAATTTGCACGTGTGCAGTTGTGGTTTTTACGACTTTGCTTCAAAATCACAGAAACCTCGCCTTCTCTCGTGGGGAGAAGGGAACGATTTCATGTCTCCCGATCCTCCCCTGGGTGAAGGTGAGACCCAGCCAGGGTTACACCCACGGTATCGCCATGAAGCATTAAAATAACTTTTTTTCTTTCTTAACAGAACTGTACGTGCAACTTTGCCACCAAAGCCTACATTCGGTGAGTCAAACTCCGGGCAGGGATCGGCTCCTGGCAAACTCTCCTGGATGATACCTCCCACACAGATAGCACATTGGTATGTGAACCCTGGCCGTCGTATTCTGGGGGATTCTGGGAAACGCAGGCCAAACTGGTAACTTTTCCTAGCATCTCGCCCTGTGTGCCTCGAACAGGATACCTGGAAACGCCCTGCTGAAGCGGTTTGCCTTTCCACAAAGCAAGGCAAGAAGGCAGTAGCCGCGAAACATCTGGGCACTTTTACTATCCAAAAAACGGTGGTGCTTATTTAATGGTGTAAATCCTGCCTCCTTCTCCGCTGCACCCCGCCCGGCCGTGTTCCCTCACGAGCGCCAGCAAGCAAGGGGAAAATCAGATGCATGAAGCTGGAAACGATGAAGCCTAGGTGGAGTTTACTGCCTGGGCTATTTTGTCTTTTTGCCATTTTTAAGCTCCCGTGACAGGATGGAAAATTTCTCAGCCGCAGATCAAAAACCCCTGCTTGTGTCGACACTGGGGGGGTAAAATGTAGGCATTACAGGAGTCTTAGGGAAATAAAAAACAAAAACAGAAGGAAGGCCATGCAAATTGTTGGATTTGCAACCTGGAACAGGCCTCGAGAAGGGCGACGGAGGCTAAAAACCACGTCTTAATGGCTAGGGTGTGGAGCCTGCAATGCAGGAGCAAAATCCGGCCCTTCTCGGCTTCCTGACAGGCCCATTTCCTCGTGACATTATTCTTTGATGGCTTCTCAGATTTTGTACGACTTTTCCTACGGCCAAAATGTTTCAAACCTTCCAGCCTTAATAAAAGGAGAGGCGTTTCGCCTTGTACGTTATCGGTGTGCGCCCAAAGAAGTGGGTTTTTATTCTGCAAAAGCTTGCATTCGTGGTTTGATTTTGAGTGGTCTAATAAAGGTATCACGTTCTTCTGTGCCTGTGTCGGGAGGTCCCAGTGAAAGAAGTAGAAAGAAAGAAAGAAAGAAAGAAAGAAAGAAAGAAAGAAAGAAAGAAAGAAAGAAAGAAAGAAAGAAAGAAAGAAAGAAAGAAAGAAAGAAAAGTAATTTTACCAAGCTGTCATTGGAAGAGCTGGCCTCCCAAGCTTCGTTTTGATGAGTCAGTGACCACCCTCTTTTTAACTTACTCTAAATCAGTTCTACCCAAAGAAAGGAGATAAAGAACATCAAGTTGATTGATTCAATCCTTTCTCTCCTGAAATGAAAGGAAAAGCAGACCAAATCATTACTGAATTTCTTCCAAGAAAGTATTTGCCCGCTTCTGGATTTTTAGAACTTGATTTGCTTCTTGTTGGCTGTAGAACACTAGGGAAGGGAGAGGTGATGAGGACACTATCGGAAAGCAGAGATAAGGAAAGTTAGTTTTCTGGACTACAGTCCCCTGAATCCCACCCTCTCAACATGGTCACTGTTGTAGATGGTATGACCTGCACAGGTTCAGTTATTAAGATGTATCTCATGTTGCAGGGTTGTTGTTGTTTTTTTTCTAAAGTGAAACAAAATGACTCTGGATGAAGTTTAGAGAAGAAAGTGCTGAAGCAGGGCTCCAGTTGAACCTTAGGAAGACAAAAGTCATGACTACAGAAGAACTGCACAACTTTAAATGTTGTTGACAGTGAGGAAATGGAGATTGCTGAAGATTTGTTATAGCTTGGTTCAATCATCCATCCAAAGGGAGACTGCAGCCAAGAAATCAGAAGAGGATGGAGACCCGGAATAGAAGCTATGAAGGAACTAGAAAAGATCATCAGGTCTAAGAATAACCACTGGAGAAGAAGAAAGCTGAGTTGCTTGAAATGTGGTGTTGGAACAGAGCTCTACAGAGACCATAGTGTGCCAAAAAGACATATAAAGGGGTTGTAGATCAAATCAGAAGGCAAGTCTTGATGGAGAAGACAACGATGTTAGGAAAAGTTGAAGGCAGCAGGAAAAGAGGAGGACCCAATGTGAGACGGGTTGACTCGAGCCATGGCTTTGCGTTTGCATGAGCTGTGCAGGAGCTGTTGAAAATAAGACTTTTGCAAGAGGTTGGAAAGTGGCTTCGCGGCACATAACTCATTCATGAAGCAAGGAAATCGAGAACCACAAGGTTTCCCTTTCTCCACCCAGCAGGACAGGGAGACTCTTCCCGACTTGAGTGAAATGCCCAACCCGATTTGAATTATCAGAATCATTTGTAAATTCCCCATCTCTGTCTGTGCATTAGTGGCACACAATTCTGTGCCAACCAGAGTCACCCTCCTCTTTTGCCTTCTCCTTTCACCAGATGGGTTAAGAAGTTCTACTTAAGGGAGGACTGGAGAGGGCCACGGCCGACCTCTTGATGTTTCTGGCCTCGATAAGAGAGCCAGTGGCTAGAGGTGCTGGGAGTTGTAGGTGCTAAACATCTGGACAGCCTCCCCATCACGGTTCTATCTAAAAAGATTATGAACCTTAGGGTCTACTTTAAAGCAAAGCATTCCCAGGAAGAGTTAGGGACCTTGAAGCTGGAACCGTAACAAAGATTGGGTTCGAATTCTGCCTTTAAGAAAACTATAAAGGGTTTTGTCTTTAAAGGATTAAGATAAGATGGCAATAGTGTCACCTTCACATTCCACCGCTTATCTCTGGGCTTTGAACTGCGGGAGGGGCGGGGGAGAGGAAGACCCACAGTTAAGGTGGGTGGTGCCAAGACGGGATCAAGATAAAACTACTTTTTAACTTTGGAATTACTCAGACCATCTACCTCATCTACCAAAATATAGATTCCAGACAGCCACCCCAGGAAGAAGCCTGGCTGTATGGCTTAAAGCAAAACATGGGCCCTTAGGTTTTTTCTGGTAAAAATGCCTGTGGTTTCATCTTCCTCTGGAGAACGGCACCTCTTGAACTCAAGGCCGGTTTGATAGCCCTCGTTTCATCCCCTGGTCGGTTTCCCTTGGAAAAAAAAAGGAGGTGAGCAGAAGCACCTAGAAGCTGCAAGCAGTGGCCGCCCAACTTTGAAACACTGCACTGAATTGCCCATTTTTCTTTCAACGTCCAGGGGCCCAGCGTTGGCAGGTTTGGGCGACCAGCAGAACCCCCCTCGAGGGTCCCAGGGCAGAAAATTAGCCCCCCGAAACCTGCAGAAGTGGTCAGTCCTGTGGAAAAAAGATGGGGACCCTTCTTTCGTCCGGGGAGGTGGTAAGTTCTGGTTCCGAATATCGGGACCTGCAAACTTTGCTCAGTGTAATTGGTAGAAAAATTGTGTGTGTGTTTGTGTGTTTATGAGCAGGAAGAAAGGAGGTCCAGATTTCCTGGAAGATCTCCGTGCAGTGAGCAACCGGAGAAAAGTGAGGGTATTTTAAGCAATAGCAAGGAAAAACTGGCTGCGGTGGTGATATTTCCTTCTCTTTCCTTGTTCGTCATTCAAAATACGAGTGTAAATTCCTTGTCTCCATACCGTGCCTTGCGAACTGACAATTGTGTTGTCACTT